GAAAATTCTCTGTTTCCAAAGAAAAAAGAAGGAAAGGAATAGGAAAGGTGTGTGACAAGTAGGTAGGAAAGGAGGAAAAGAAAAGAAGGAAGGAAAGAAGAAAGAAAGAAGTAAAAAGGGGAAGAAGAAAGGAAGAAAAATGGAAGGAAGGAAGAAGAGAAGGAAGGAAAGAGAAAGAAAAGTAAAAAGAGGAGAAGAAAGGAAAAATAAAGGAGGGAAAGAGAAAAAGAGGGAGAAAAGAAGAAATTGTGTTCCTCACTTCCTGAGTGATTATTGAAGTATGCAAAATATTAACATGATAAAAGAGAAAAATTTATAAATGTAAATGTCAGCAATACTTAGCAACAGCACCACTTTGGACACTAGATTAAATTGGAGATTACCAAAGGGAAGCATCACCCTGATTCAAAATAAATACAAAGTCGTATAAGTCATGGATGCCTGATTAAATGCAGCCCACAATAGCAGGTCAGACGTTAATAAGACTCCCAGTATCTTAGTGAAGGAATACTGCCAGTGAGATAAGATTCTTCTACTGCAAAGCAAAATAAAATTTTACTCCAATAACATATCTGACTTTAACCTATTACCACTGTTTGTTACAGTACACAGGTAAAATTGGTGACTTGTAAATGTGAACAATTAAAAAATTAGTCATAGGCTCATGATTCTGTCTTCCTAGAACCACACACTTCAGTGAGAAGAAATAGAAATAGAATTTCTAAAGGTAGTACAGACTTATGTGACGCCTTTAAAAGTAACTAATGTGTCCATGTGCATTGCAACGAAATTGTTAATTACAGTGATCTCAACTTGTTGGTTCTTGATTTATTTTACATTCTCTCTCTTCCAGCATTGAAATGTTCTCAAACATATTTCTGGTGCATATGAATGCTTTAAACACATAAATAAAATATTATTTTGAATTTATACCTACTATTATTAGTATTAACCAGGCATTAAATCTAAAATATTTTATAAATCAGGTGTAACTGAGGAGTTCATTAGGTAAAATAACTATTTCTGCTTAAGCCAATACCCATGAGCTCAGGTGATTATCAATGAAATCAGGGACAAATGGAGTAGTGAGCTGAAGCATTTTCTTTGAACTCTACTTCATCGGCATTTATTATGGGCTGCACATTTGTGTGTTCTTGATGTTGATATGTTAAAGTTGTAGTACCTGTGTTTGGAGGTGAGACTTTCAGGAGATGATTAGGGTGAGATGAAATCATTGGGGTGGAATCTTGGTGTTTCCCTGAGAAGACAACGAAGAGCCAGAAATCTTTCTCTAATCTCAATGTGAGGACAGAAAAGAGCCAGGGATAGCATTCTTAGCAGAATCCAAACATGCATGCATTGGTTTCCAGAATGGGGAGAAATCAGTATCTCTTATTTACATTCCCCTTTATCATGTGTGACCAGCTCCTGCTGATTCATTTGGGCCTCCAAAAGGAAGTACAGACACAAGTTTTGGAAAACAGGAATTATAATTAAATTATTGAAAAGAATATCCTTAAAGACAGACAAGGCAATGAACTAAATATGACAAAATTACTGTAGTAAGTTCAAAAGTATTTGTAGGTGTTAAGAATGATGAATTAAAAGATAGGATGAGAAGGTAAGTCTATTGAAAGGTAAATTTGCTTTAAAAGAAGTTCACATTATCAGAAGTCGGAAGGGTTAAGAAGAAAGGGAGGGAGAGACAGGTTGGATAACAAGCACACAAGCAGAATTAGGAGGATGAAATTCTAGTGCTCTATAGTACAGAAGGGTGACTATAGTTAACAATTTATTGCATAGCTGCAGATAGCTAGATGAGAGAATTTTGAACTTTCCAAACTGAGGTAAACAACAAATGTTGGAGATGGTAGATATGAGAAGTACTACAATCTGAACATTACATATTGAATACATGCATCAAAATTTTACAGATAATTATATATAACTATCTATAATTTTTAAAGAAGAGTTCCCATTGAAACTACAACGACTTTATAAAGAAAATTATCAAATCCAACACAAATAAGGAGGTATCATTTATTTGTGCTTGTCATTTTTGCACACTGTAGAAAGGACATTTTTTCCACCATGTTTATGTATGGTTTTGATGACCACTGTTTTAGTTACTTTAGTGTTGCTGAGACAAATAATCAACACCCACAACTCTAAGGAGGGAAGGTTTATTTGACTCATAGGTTGTAGATGTTTCAGTCCATAGTTGGCTGGCTCTAAGCTGCAGTGGCATGGCAGAGGGGCATGGCAGAGGAGAAACAGTCCATGGAGTGGCAGGCAGGAAGTAAAGAGAGATCAAGGAAGAACGGAGGGAGATAGACCCTTCTAGACCACACGTGAAGTGACTTACATCCTTTGACCAGGCTTTACTTCTCAAATCACATTTAGCTATAAACTCATCACTGAACTAATCCATTCATGAGCATCATGCCCTTGTGATACAACCACCTTCGAAAAGCTCCACCTATAAGCACATGAGGCATTGGGGGGATATCCAGATAGAAAACCTAACAATGATCAAATATACATCCAGTCATGCCTATGTTGTGTTTAAATGAACTTTCTATTGTTGGGATAAAATACCTGACATTCAGAGCTTTATTTGGCTCATGGTTTCAGAAGGTTCAGTCCATGGCCAGCTGGCTACAGGGCAGAAACATCGTGGAGGAAAGGTTTAGTGGAGGAAAAGTGCTCAGTTCATAGCATTCAGGAAGCCAAACAGAGAAACAGTGACAGAGAAGAAACCAGCAACCGTAATCTATAATATCACAACCCGAGAACTCACCCGCATGCATCCAGAAGTGTACATTACTAATCTACTTGGTGTCTCTCAAACAAGTCAAGTTGGCAGTGAAGATGCACTGTGACATCTTGTATTTGGTGCAATGTTTTGTGAATAATTAGCATATTGGAATAGGTAATAGCTATTCTAAAAAAGAAAGAAATACCTACAACATACTTAATATATTACACATAGCCCTAAAATTCACATCAGAGGAGAGACAAAGCCAGAGATAGAGAGAGAGAGAGAGAGAGAGAGAGAGAGAGAGAGAGAGA